AATTTTATGTTAAAAATTGCGGTACTGTCAGATTTTAGCATAAACAGAGAAAATTGCAGCAGCGCATGAATCTAGATGAGATGCACTACTTTCCAACCCCGCTTAGGATCATTGCTATCACATCGCGCACCAGGCAAAATCGGTGTTGTGGCTGATACTCTGTAATGCGATCTGACACACACCTTGTAAACGGGCAGTGTGGTCTGATAAACCGCTTTTTTCTGGACCCGTAGGTGCCGAGTCTGGTAGTTGGGAAGGCCTGAAAAAGTAGGAGGAAAATGTCTTTTGGAGTTATTTTTTTTCGAAACATAAACAAGATGGCGGCTTATGCATCTGCTTGTTATTCGGCTACTGAAAGTGCACCTAAGTTTTATTCTATGCTATTGCCACAAATAACTAAACAATTACAACTGCATAAAGACCAAACTTTCTTCGTCTGATACTATATTTTTAAGCACTTGTTATGAGTGGGAAATATTTTTCGTGCAATATTTATTCTCCACACACCACCACGCGAGATCGACGTGGAGCTGGACACTTACACAGTGAGATCCCACGGCATAAAAGTTGCAATTTATCTTCATATTTCGAGTAGTTATGCATTTAAAAGCACTTACCTGTTTTTTGATAACCTTATCCAACGTTATATCCTCTGCACTCTGTAATTCTCTCATTTTGAGAAACTTTTGACTGCGTTTCTGTTTGTGTCCTCTCCAAACGACAGACGAAGGCACCTATTCTGACAAACGAGATTTAAACGAGAGTAACAGAAAGCGTAACAGAGATAGGAACCCATTGTTCTCTGGGTTCTATTCATTCCGACCAATGAGAGACCGTAATACGGGCTCTGCCCCCACGCGTGTAATCTCCTTCTGTTATAACTCCTTGCCTAAATGGTTAAATGATTATGTTCAGTTTAAGTACTAGTAGAGATATGTGATTTAAAATGATTGTCATAGTCAGTTGAATTTAAATTAAATCTTCGTTGTTTTGTGAGAAGTGTTTTGTTTTCTTATGGAAATGTTTAAGATTCAAATGGCCCAATGAAACGAGGCCCCATTGTATTGAAGAGAACATAACGTATACTGTATGTGATGGTATGATCATTAATTTATATGTTTTTTTATGTCTATGTATACATATATAAAGAAAAATTTGTTGGTAACAGTTGTGATTTGTGGCACCTCACATTTCAGTGGGGAGGACTGTTATGTATGGGACTTATTTGTGTGGCACGACTCACTGCGCATTGATCTGTACTCGTAAACTGAATAATAAAGTTAGTTCCAAGAAATGCATTGACTGGTGTGGACGTTATTTCTCAGAGGCTCAGACACATACGTAACAGTGCCTCACAGTCTTTTACTGCTGAAACTTATAACCTATGGTTTTAGAAGTAAACTGCACTCTTTCTTGGCCTCTTATCTGAACAACAGGAAAATCG